TATCAACAAAACACAAGCGGAAGTCAGAAGATCCTTTATTTTAGCTCCGCAATGGTGAATGACTTTGCTATCGCTCAAGCCTCAACGCCTCAACCTCAAATTGAAAACTGAAACCAACCGAAATCTTTGATTGGAGAAGGTAGAACTCAAAAGAAGGGGGGAAGATTGATAAAATCGACTGAAGAAGATGAAGACTTGAAGACACGAGACTCATGATACTGAATTACTGATATTGTATAAAGGATTGAAAATCGAAGCATCGTTTAAGTCGTGAGTTGTGTTACTGAAACTTGAGCCAATTTACTTAAGAAGAAACAAAATAAAAAATAAAAAGTTGATATAATAGATATAATATTAAGAATAAAATAAATTTATAAAATATTTTAAGTGGGTTGAAAACAGGTTGAAAAATTTAACCCAACCCAACCCATTTATTTAAATGGGTTAGACGGGTTGACTCATTTATTTAAATGGGTTGAAAATCTCAACCCAACCTATTAATTCTGAGTTGGGTTAATGGGTTGGGTCATTTTCTGCCACCCTTAATATCAGGTCTAGTACATGTCATTGCATACATTAAACGACCAATGACTTTAGCATATTCATTTTAAGCTAAAATTCTTCCGGTATTCATTGTTAATCTAAAACCTACTTCGAATGGAGTACTGACAGGTAAGCAGTGAAATTTATTAAAACGCTTTAATATCTTTTCAATATAGTGAGAATGAGATAACCTTAGTTTATTGTCATCTCTAAGAATTTTTATTCCTAAAATAACATCAGCTTCTCCCAGATCTTTCATATCAAAATTTTCAGATAAAAGTTTCTTTGTCATTTGTACTTGTTCTAAGTCGGTTCCAAAGATCAACATATCATCTACGTACAAGCAGATGATAACCCCTCGACCATTAACAAATTGACAATATACACACTTGTCTGATTCATTAATTTTGAAACCATTAGACAAAATAACTTGATTGAATTTTTGATGCCATTATTTAGGAGCTTGTTTTAAGCCATACAAGGACTTGATAAGTTTACAAACTTTATTTTCTTGTCCTTGAACTATGAAACTTTCAGGTTGTTCCATATACACTTCCTACTCTAATTCACCATTTAAGAAAGCAGTCTTGACATCCATTTGGTGAATTATGAGTTTATTAATGGAAGCTAAGGCAATCAAGACTCTAATGGTTGTCGTACACGCTACAGGGGCATATGTGTCAAAGTAATCTAATCCTTCTTTTTGTGTAAAGCCCTTAGCTACTAATCGAGCTTTAAACTTTTCAATAATGCCATCAACTCTTAATTTTCTTTTGAAAATCCATTTATTCTTGATGGCTTTTGAACCGGGGGCAGGTCGATTAAGACCCAAGTATTATTACCTATGATGGAATCCGTCTCATCGTTAATTGCTTCTTTCCAAAAAGATGCATCATGAGATTTCATTGCTTCCGCATATGTACTTGGTTCTTCATCCAAATTGTAGATGATCAGATATTCTTTCATTGAACCATGTCGACACCTTCAACTAAGTACATTTCAAAGTCAGGTCCAAAGGTTCTTGCCTTTCGTTGACGTTTACTTCTTCTAGGTTCAACTGCTTGATGATTCGAAGAATCATCATCTTCCCTTTCATCATTTATGGAAATTTTTGTAGACATGATTTCCTTATAAATCTTATGTGCCTTTTGAATGCTTTTGAACCTTTGTTCATCAAAACAAGCATCTCTAGATTCTATGATGGTGTTAACCGAAATTTGATCATTTGGCTCAACAACCATGATCTATAGGCTTTGCTATTTTGGGCCTATCCCAAGAATATGCATTCAATGCCTTTGTCTCCTAACTTTCTTTTCTTTGATTCTGGAAGTCTTACAATTGCTCGACATCCCTAATTCCGAAAATAATTTAGTTAGGTGTTCGTTGATTCCATAACTCATAAAGGGTCTTTTGACTTCTCTTGCTTGGTACTCTATTGAGTATGTAGCAAGATGTAAGTAATGCTTCACCCCCCAAATCCGGAACTTAGTCTGGAATATGACATCATTGAATTTACCATCTCCATCAAAGTACGGTTCTTTCTCTCCGCAATACCATTTTGTTGTGGTGTATACGGAGCAGTTACTTGGTGAATAATTCTCGTAGATTCAAAATATCTAGGGTTATAGTATTCTCCACCCTTATCCGTTCTTAAACATTTTATCTTTGTCTCACATTTAAGTACTACTTTATTTTTGTAGATCTTAAAATTTTCAACGACTTCATCTTTTGAATGTAAAAGATATACATAGCAATATCGAGAATATTCATCGATAAAAGTGGCAAAATACTTTTTACCACCAAGAGAAGGAGTAGCATGTAAGTCACATATGTCACTATCACTAAGTCTAAGATTTTAGAAGATCTTTGGATTTGAGGGAAAGGTTGTCTAGTAATTTTAGTATGCATGCATCTAAGACACTTTTGATTTTTATCATCTAACTTTGGAATTAGATCACCTTTTACCATTTTTTCAAACGTTTAAAATGAACGTGACCTAATTGACCATGCCATAAAAGTAAGGAAAAAATCAAAGTAAGCAGAACTAGTAGTAGTATTATTAACATCATTCATATGTACATCGGAAGCAACCATATTTTTTGTGTTGTTCGAGTCAATCATATTTACATCATTCACACTACTATTCACAACATCATTTATGTTTAGTTTAAACATATCTCTGGTAAGATAGCTTTTGCCGACGAATTTTCCACCTTTGGAGAGTATGAATTTGTCAGATTCGAAGACGAGTTTGAAACCATGTTTGTTGAGGATTGATACAGAAACCAAGTTCTTGCGATCGTCGGGAACATGGAGAACATCATTTAGAGTCAATGTGTTCCCCCATGTAAATTCCAAGGTTATCTTCCCTTTTCCTTTTACTTGAGCGGTTGAGTGATTTCCCATGTAAAGTACGGAGGTTGAAGCTTCGTACGTTTTGAACATGTCCATGTTGTTGCACACATGTCGGGTTGCGCCCGAATCAACCCACCAACATTTGTCTTCATCAAGTGGGAATGTCTCGGAAATAATAGCAACAAAGTTATTGTTCTTGGAGTTTCCATCCTTGGTGTTGTCACCACCATTTTCTCTCCTTCTTTTGAGAAGTCGACAATCCCGCTTGTAATGTCCCAGTTTATTACAGTTGAAACATATCACTTGTTTCATATTCCTCTTTTTCTTTCTGTCTCCATGATCATGGCGTTCCCTTTTCTTGCCACCGACTTTGGAAGTCTCACCCTTCTCTTCAACCACATGAACTTTGGAAGCATTTTCGTTGGATTTATTTTCCAACCGATATTGTTCTTCAATGAGAAGATGTTTTCCAAGTTCTTTTAAGGACATATCATCCTTGCGATGTTTAAGATTTTTCTTAACATCTTTCCATGAAGGAGGGAGTTTGTCGATGACCAATGCCACTTGGATCGATTCATCCATTTTCATGTCGTGTTGTTGAACATACTGAGAATGTGCTCAATCTCATACATTTGAACCATAATAGGGTGTGAATCTAGCATCTTGTAAGAATTAAACTTTGAAACAATAAATTTTTTACTTGTTGCGTCTTCCATGAAGTACTTTTGTTCGAGAGCATTCCAAAGTTCTTTCGCGGTTTTGATGTTTTGATAAACATCAAAAAGAGGATCGGACATAGCATTGAGAATGTGACCACGACATATGAAATCATCATTTTTGAACTTGAGACGTTCCCGGGCCGTATCACATGACATGTGTTGGAGATTTTTCGTTGCCATCATTGCTCGAAATTGCTTTAAGATTGTTATTTTCGGGGTTATAAACTAGAGGTATAAAATGACTAAATTGAATCAACTACGTATTGCTTTCAAGGCAAGTAAACTCTCTATCCTTAAAGTAATTTCGCCCCTACCATAGTTGCTTTAGGTTATGGCGAATTACTTCTCAAGATACAATGAAGCAGCGTATGTAAATTGATTATCAACACCACACTAGTGGTGATAATCCCGATCGGATTATTGAGTAATCAAGGATTTCAAGAAGCCTAAAAGTATGATTCTGTAGCAAAATACTTCTAGGTTAAATTTGTATATGAAAAGAAGATGATTTTTGGTGTTTATAAGTCGGTATATATAGGTATAAGTGACAACCCTTTGAACTGTCACGAATTGTCAGTTTTTGACAGTTTTTAACCTTTCACGACGGTTCAAACCGTCGCAACTGTTCAAACAGCATCAACAGCTGCCATTGTGACGTTTCAAAGCGTCGCAACTGTTCAAGCATGCCTATTATACGAATCGTCATGATATGTCACTTATAAAACCGTCAAAAATAATTGTATAGACCCCCACCATTTCCAATATATATTAAATTAGTATATAAAAATTTGTTCCACTTATATACCCACTTTTATTCCAGTCTTTCACCTATGTGGGATAATGTGAAACCCATCAAATCCAAATTTTCTCTTCTTCCTAAGACTCAAATCCAAAACACTTGAACCTATTTATTTAATTTTGAAATTTTTTCCATCCTTCTTGGTCATTGTAATACTCATTCAGTTAGATAAGTAACATCTGATAAAAGCTTATCTGATAAGCATTTAATAAAACGACCTTGAGTTGATGCTGAGCTTAAACAAAACGATATGGGATTTGAAATTGTGATACATAAAACAATATTAATTCATTATTTTCCACTATATTTTCAATTTAAAAACCCGCGTACGTATCGGATTTGGAAACGATCCACTTATAAAATCAAAACCACACCGGTTTTATTAATATCAATTCGATTTTGGGTTATACGATCTGATCCGACCCGATGGAGATGGAGATGAAGATCCGTAGCTATTTCCATTTTCATCTTGAATTGTGTCCGTTGATATTTGGGACAAACCACAAGAAGCTTAAGCTGAATTTTGAATAAAAATCGTTCCCCCCTTTTATCTTTCTATGAAGTGTAGGGTAGTTAATCAAACAAAGACTTGATCAAATGGCGGTTTACATCTCTCCTCCTCTGTTTCCACCACCCACACGAGTCTCGATTCTTTCTCTGTTTGTAAATTTCTCTTTGATTTACACTTGTAACATCTTAGTCTCAGAACTAAGACGTAATCATTTGCATACCTTTGCCTTTTTCTCTTATTTTGTTTATCCAGAGACCCCCTCTCCTCATTTCTTCTTCACCCTCTCTCAAATTCACCTGAAAACGCATGTCGATTTGATTAAAGAAATTGCTATTCTGGAGTATTCAATGATTTTGAGATTTGGGTTGAAATCAACATCAAATTCAGTTTTTGATTGTTGGGTTTCTTATATTTAAGCCGCTGGATTTCATTTTCTCGTAAGGGTCATTTGTTTTGATCAAATTTGATTGAATGTGTACGAAGAATCTCATCAAATTCGGGCTTTGATTATTGGGTTTTTTGAGTTTATCTCTTTGAATTTCATTCTGTCATCTGGGTGATTCTCTTTTGCTTGAAAGAAATTGAGAAATTATGAGGGAAGGGAAATTAGGGTTTGTAATTTGTGTTTTGTTCTTCTGGATGTTTGAATCTACATTGGGTAGATTTGTGGTTGAGAAGAACAGTTTGAGGGTGACTTCACCTCAGAATTTAAAAGATACTTATGAATGTGCAATTGGTAATTTTGGTGTTCCTCAATATGGAGGAACATTAGCTGGTGCTGTTGTTTTTCCAGATATCAATCAGAAGGCTTGCAAGAGCTTTGATGATGATGTGTCTTTTAAATTCAAATCTGGTGCTGGCCTTCCTGTTTTCCTTCTTGTTGATCGTGGCGGTAAATCTACCCTTTTAATCCATTGTCCTTTTTCTGTTTGCTTATCGATTGTTTAATTCCTTTTATGTTGATTGCATGTGTGTTTGTTTGCATTTGGTTGATTTTGTTATGATCAATAATCCCACACAAAATAATGATTCCGTTTATAATTGGAATTTAACGAAAAAACCGATGACATCATAAAATGAGTCTACCATCTTTCCTAAAGGTCAAGGATAAGATAGATTAGAGTAAACAAAGTTGGATCGAAAAAAAGTAGTACATTAGAGAGAAAACGATGTAGTTCCTTTTTATATAAGATAGATTAGGATCGGATGGACGTGTTTTTTTTATAGATTAGGATAAGACCAACAAATTGTCCTCTTCACCATCAAGAATAATTGTTCTCTTGATAAGACTTGGATCTACAAAGTTGTGCATTTTTTGGTAATCATGGGTGTCTGGGCCATCTTGCGTGCACCTTGACTGATTCCTAGAGGCCCTAAGGAGACTCGAACTGGTGATCTATGGGGAGGAGCCCCAAGGCCGAACCTTTATTTGCTAGTTGAGCTGACCCTCAAGGTTCAAAAGTAGTGCATCGGGAAAAAGACAATTTTATTTCTTTTATAATTCGAATTTAGTTGAAAAGATAGGTAATATAACCTGTAATCGGGAAATATAACAGGTAGAATGACGATTTAATGGTGTGTGGCCGATTCAATGGTGTGCAAGCGGATAATGTAGTCAGGTACAACATGTAATACAAGTGGAAATTAATATACGAGTACATAATTTATATAACGTGTATAAATACGAAGGGCAACAGTAAGAATTCTAGTGTTCACGCAAGAGATTATACTTCATATGGATCATGAGGGTGTTGTGTTGTCCCATTAGCGGTTTGTTAAAATGCTACCTGCTAGCAATAGAAAACATTTCTGTTCATGTGAGATTGATCCAACGTGTTAATGGGTTCTTTTTTCAGTCATTAAAGTCTTATATATTTTAATATATTTTTGGTGGTTTTCATTCTTTCCAATTTAATTTCTTCCTTTGGTTCCTCAGATTTAGAAATGAAGATATCCTATAAAAGTTAACGGTCTCCTTGTATTGAATTATTCGAAATTACTTTATAATCCCTGATTTAGAATTAAAATTTGTGAGGAAAAAGAAATAAAGAACGAAACTTGCTCTTACCATGTGGCAGACTGTTATTTTACCTTAAAGGCATGGAACGCACAGAAAGCTGGAGCTGCCGCCATTCTTGTTGCAGATGACAGGCCCGAGCCTTTGATCACCATGGACACACCAGAAGAAGAAAATGCACGTTATGATTACTTACAGAACATATCCATCCCTTCAGCACTCATAAGCCAAGCACTTGGGGAGGCCATAAAACGAGAACTAAATAAGCCCGAAATGGTAAAAGTGAATCTTGATTGGAGAGAAGCTCTTCCTCATCCGGATGACAGAGTTGAGTATGAGTTTTGGACCAATAGCAATGATGAGTGTGGGCCCAAGTGCGAAAGTCAAAGAGATTTTGTCAAAGAATTTAAAGGGGTGGCCCAAATTCTCGAGAAAAAAGGGTACACACAATTCACGCCACATTATATCACGTGGTATTGCCCTGAGGCTTTCATTTTGAGTAAGCAATGCAAGTCTCAATGTATTAATCATGGAAGATATTGTGCTCCTGATCCGGAAGAGGATTTCAGTCTAGGGTATGATGGGAAGGATGTTGTTGCACAAAACTTACGGCAGGCGTGTTTCTTTAAAGTGGCTAATGAAAGTGGAAAGCCATGGCTTTGGTGGGATTATGTGACGGATTTTTCTATTCGTTGCCCAATGAAAGATAGACTGTACACCAAAGATTGTGCCGAAGAAGTAATCAAATCACTTGGTCAGTTTTTTAAATGTTTTATGATATACTTACAGTTTTTTTCGGTTTGAATGGAGTTGTGGTGTTACCATATAATCCCATCTACTGAATCACTCAGCAAAAACTTAAAAGCTACTGAAAGGAAAAAAAAACGTACACCAAAAAGCAAAGATCCTGACAAAATTTTATAAAAAACCTTAAGCAGAAAGCTTATGCATGTGCCGTAAGCTTTCTGTGTAAGGACATGTGGGCTATGCAAATCCAGCGTTTCTTACCCAGAGGCCACACGTGGACTTGTCTGATGAGGTGTATTCCATGTAGCATCCTTATGCGGAAAGCTTACACATATGCATAAGGATTCTATTTTTTTAACCGAAAATACGTGAGGTTTCTGCGCAAGGATTGACTATTTAGCGAATTTGGGTCCCCACATGGCTATAATAAGTTGACGTTTCCCATATGGCTATTTATGTAAATTTCCTCTACTTTAATCCTTTATCATGTGTGTTGAAACTAACATTTATCGTTTGACAACCCTTTTGTTTTTGGTTTTCCATTTACATTTCTAGATAATGTAAACCAGATAGAAATTGACGTTTGACAACTGATACATGAAAACCAAAGGTGGTACACAAAGCTAGTTGTAAACTGTAAACTCGGTCTTGATGGTTTTATGGTTTATAATACGAATCTTTCTAATCAGTTTGCTAATTTGATGTTCTATGATTTATTTTAACCATAGTTGTCGCATAATTTGAATTATTATATATTTTATTCAAGATGGTAAATTACCAAAAATTGGTGCAACAAATTGAGGTTTTTGCTGACTTCTTGTTCTATATTTTGTAGGGGCTGACCTGAAGAAAATAAATGAATGCGTAGGCGATACAGAAGCAGACAAGGAGAACTCAGTGCTCAAGGCTGAGCAGAACGCACAGGTGTTGATCGTAGACATTTCTTTGTCATAATTCACATATTCTTGCACCCTTTTCATAATCTTAATTTGGAATTGCTGAGAAGGGTATACTGAGGGTAACTTTGTAATTCTGCAGATAGGTAAAGGTAACCGTGGAGACGTGACAATGCTACCAACTCTTATAATAAACAACAGACAGTTCCGGGGTATGTTTTCTAGATCATGGGTGTATGTGAAGATTATGTTGAAATAAACATTGGTAGTTTGGTACTATAAATTACATTAACATTTAAATTTGTAGTTTAATTTAGCAAATATAACGTAGGGGTGGGTTCATTTGTGATTGAGAACCAACTATTCACGATGAATATCGTGAATAATGAAAATGCATGATATTCATGAAGATTTAGGTATATTCATCATGAATAATTCATTAATGTGTAACCTATAACATGTGTAACTATATAAAAAGTTTATTGAATATAAGACTTTTACGTATAATGGATATTTGGAAACAGAGATCTGCTATCCAAATAACTGTGGCTTGCTTCAGGTAAGCTTGACAAAGGAACGGTTCTGAAGGCCATTTGTTCAGGATTCGAGGAGACAACTGAGCCAGTCATTTGTTTAAGAGATGGTAAGTTTCGTAATTTTATCTTTCACCATTCCTAGTTATATTTCCATCTTTGTTTAGACCTTAAACATCAAACATCACAAAAATTACTATACTTTAACTCGAATATAATATAAATATAATAATATGACGATAAATGAGTACAATAAACCAAATTTAAACCAAACAAAGGCAGTATATTCGGCTCGGAAGTAGGGTCTAGGGGTGGGATCTACGCAGACCTCACTTCTACAAGGGTAGAGCGGCTGTTTTCATGAAGACCCTTGCCAAAATTATAATTTGTTGTATCTGCTTTTAAAGATGTACCTATTAGAATCATTAGGCAAGAAGCAATATTGTGAACCACTGACACAAGGATTTTCAGTCCTTTGCTCTAACCATATTAGCATAGTATACATAATTCAATTTTAGATTTGGTTGTATTTTATTGATGTTTAAATAATAATATCACTCAATTATAAACAATGCTATAAAGATTAAGAAATATTCTATAAATAAAAAACATAAAAATAGGAAAGTTGCTTAGAAATGATTTGAAGGATGGGATTTTAGTTTTCTCATCTTGTAATTTGGTGACGTGGATGCCAATTTGTCAAGTTATATTGTAAGTTGATTACATGGAGAGTCACAAGTGAACTTATTGGCGTCCACGTAATCAATTTTAAAATATAAGTTGACAACGTCATCAAATGTTACAGTATCAGCGGTTTACCGGTTAAGTTGTGTACCAAAATAGGAAATTTTGAAACTTTCTTACATTGATTGAGAAAAAGATTCTTCATTACATTAATTAGGAACCAAGGCAAACTTCGTTGCATTTTGATGTATTTTTCCCTTTAATTTCTACAATTTCAGAATCACTGGTTTTCTTCTTGAGTTTCCTATCGAATGAATGAAACATAGCCAGGTGATGTATGTTGCTTTCAGGAATTGAAACAAATGAGTGTATGGAAAACAATGGTGGATGCTGGATGGACAAATCATCAAATATCACAGCGTGCAGGGTAACACAGAGCTGAAGATTTGCAGTCTCTTTAGGTTTTTGATTTTTTTTTGTTTTTTTTGGTTTGCATGCTTGTTTCTGTGTTTTGTGTAGGATACTTTTAGGGGGAGAGTGTGCCAATGCCCGATTGTGCAGGGTGTAAAGTTTTTTGGCGATGGTTATAAACATTGTGAAGGTAATCTGTATAATTCGAACTTTTATGTGTACGTCTTGTGTCCATGTGGTTTTATGGATGCCCGTTTTTTGTTGTTATACATTGCAGCTTCGGGAGCTCTGCGCTGCGGACTTAACAATGGAGGCTGTTGGAAAGATACCCAGCAGGGCAGGACTTATTCTGCTTGTATTGTTAGTTCTTTCTCTCTCTCTCTCTCTCTCTCTCTCTCTATATATATATATATATATTATATATAGGGCAAGTTATTTTAGGAACCTAAAATTGATTAGGAATCCGGGAACCGCCCACTACACAACGCGTTAAATATTCATTAGGAATATGGACATGTCATATATCATGAATTTTGTAACATATTCATCATGAATCTCACTTTCATGATGAATAACACGTCCATAACACATCCATATTCATCATGAATGTGTTATTCGTGATGAATATTCATCTTGAAGAGGGACATGTGTATGTGGGCAGTTTCTGGATTCCTAATCAATTTGGGTTTAAAATGGAACTTCCCTATATATATATATATATACATAGGCTTGGGATCGTGTGAGAATAATAGTTATGGTGAGAACGCTTCTGCTTTGGATAAGTTGACTTTTGATCCAACTTCATCTACCGTATGCTACCTTCAACTATCTTCATCTACCTTTATCTTCACATTTATCTTCACTTTCAATCAATTCCACAAATTTTACATACATCTAATCACTTTTACATGCATGAATTTGTTGAAGTTTCAGTTATGATGATAAAAATAGGTAAATAAAGGTAGATGCATGCATATGAAGGTTTTGTTCTCACGTTCTCACCAACTTTTATTCTCATTGGAACCCGACCTTACATTTGGCAACCGAGAAACGGAAAACCAGACTGTCAATTATAAAGGGGAAAAGACCATCCTAGTTTGTTGGCTTTGTGTGGGTTAGGAGTCACAATTCCTTTGGCGATTGAGCTTCTTGTGGGAAATAGGTTCTTAAGCTGCGCTCCTAGCTGTCAATTGTATACCTGATCTGCCTCTCACATGATGCTCTTGGGGCTAAGCGGTGTGAATTAGGGGTTGCCGGTTAAAAACCCTATTTCACAAATATCTGCAAGGATGCTGATTTCGACGCTAGGATCTTCAGTTCATAAGTTCGCTATGGAAAAACTTTATCCCTTGATCTAAGGCTCGCCATTGTTGACATATAGGCCAACTTTTCACTCTTTTTTCGTCTTTTGATATATGATAAACATAACTTGATGCTTCATTTCATTTCATTTATTTTACTTTTATCTTCTCTTTTAGGATGATCATACTAAAGGTTGCAAGTGTCCATCAGGATTCAGAGGGGATGGATATAAAAATTGTGAAGGTATTATCTCCCTTAAGTATGACAATGGGTGTGCGAGAACATGTGAAATCCCATTAGATCACTCTCCAAAATAGCCCTTTGGGTAAAAAAGTGTGTTCTAAAGAAGAGAAAGTGTCCAAGTCTAGCCGATGTGAGACTCTAACACGTACCATACAACGGAGGCTAGATGGGCAAAGATGTCCCAAAGTGTCCGGTGGTAGACCTTGGCTCTATACCATATAAGAAAATGTGAAATCACATTAAGTTACTCTTCAAAAGAACCCTTTTAGTAGAGAAGGGGTTCTAAAGAGAAAATGTCCAAGTGTAGCTGATATAGATTTTTAAAATTCAATTGCTCCAAAATTTCATTTTGCAATTGATTGAAAAGACCATTTGCGTTTTGACGTATATCATATATGTTTCAGACATAGACGAATGTGAAGAGAAGACCGCTTGTCAATGTTCCGACTGTAGATGCAAGAATACGTGGGGTAGTTATGATTGTCATTGTGGTAGCAATTTGCTCTACATGAGAGAACACGACACATGTATAAGTGAGTGCTCTTCCTATTACATTCTTTGTTCGAGTCTTTTAATCTATAACCTAGTACTCTCCAAAACCTACATCTTCTCTAATCCTGCATACAAGCCAGGGGTCTTCATGGGAACAACCTCTCTTCCCTTGGGGGTCGAGGTAAGGTTTGCGTACATCCTACCCTCCCCAGACACTACTTCGCATTAGGTTTACTGGGTTTGTTTGGTTTGGTTTCTCCAAAAACTATATTTGCATAAATTTCGTTCCTTTACTTTTGAAACGGTTTACATCCTCGCACATTGATATCTTCAAAGAGATTTGAACTCATAAACCAAGTGTTTCGAAATAGGTAAAGATGCTAAGCCGGGAATTGGCTGGGGATTTGTGTGGGTTATCATTCTTGGTTTAGCAGTTGCTGGTGCCATAGGATATGCATTCTACAAATACAGAATCCGGGTACGTGTTATTTCTTGTAATCAATTAATTTATTTCGTTTTCTTATTATTATACCAAGAATATTTTTATTTTTGGACAAACGACCCTAAGCGGTTGCGGCTATTTAGCTTACTGGCCTTCTACAAAACCGACTTTAAGAATCTAACTCTCTAGATTTGTTACCATATGGATTCGATTGTACATATAGAGAAAGTTGACAAGATTATAAAGAAAATTTTCGAAGATAAAACTAGATATGATAGAAAAACTGTTATTCCCCCAAGAGTTTTCTATCGAGGCTTGATTTCTATCCATTTCGTGCATATATTTTGCTTAGATCTTGAAATCTTGTTAAGATCTTAGGGGTGATGTTTTATGTTGTTTCTTTATGAATCTTTTCGTGCAGACGTACATGGATTCTGAGATCCGGGCTATCATGGCACAATACATGCCATTGGATAATCAAGCCGAAGTTGCAGTTCATGGATCACATGGAAACGTCTAAAGAAAACCGCAGCAACAAAATAGAAAAGAAAAGATAACAATTTTAGAAAAAACTGACATATTGATCCGAAACCACTATCTATTGGGTTAACGATGCATATTATACACGTTATGCACATTAAAAACACTCGATCTGCAGAAAATTTGCTGATCTACACATCTAAATTCATCAATTAGATTCGTTTGTAAGTTAAGATGTTATTAGAGTAATAAATGGTCGACTTTGTGGATGCTGCGAGATGTACTCCAAGTCGATGTATAATTGCATTTCTTTTTCGAATATTTCTTGATAGCCGTTTTTGGTCCAAAATGAATCCGAACCCAATCTTACCTGGACAAGTTGACAACCCTTGGGGGCAGTTTAACTGGTCAGGCCTTGAGTTTGGTCTTCTGTCATCCAAATATACCGACACCAACATTAGTTTTTTACATGCCTAATCGAAAACTGTTGAAAAAAGCCACATTCAAGTGATCTCGTTCAGTGTCGTCTTCACGTAGTACCCACACTCGTAATTGGACTTCTGTCACTAAATTGTAAAAGAAATGCAACAATGACATAAATTTCTATATCAAAGAAAGTTGATTTATGGGTATCGCATGATTATCCTTCATTCTACCTCGTAACAACCATAAAAGGAAAATAAATATTAAAGATTGATTAATTGTAGAAAAAATTGTCAATTCTATACCAATGCAAGAAATTGCTTACGTTTCCATATGTTTTAAGAAAAATCACTACAAAAATGCTGGGTATCAGCGAGGGAAAATTCCCTCGCTGATCCGTCGCTGAAAGTGCTTTCCGTCGTTGATCCGTCGCTGATACTCCGTCGGTCAAA